AGCGTCTTGCCACTAGGCCACCAGAGCTCCCTTCGTCATCCTTACTTCTAAGGAGCAACTTGGTTGTAATTCCTCTGACACAGACTTTTTCGAGTTTTTGGGCATTCATGTATATTAAAAACTCTTCTCCAACACCACAATTCAAAGGCATTGATTTATCTTTGTCATTCTTATTCATTATCCAGCTTTCAGATGCATCGGAGGTAAATGAATAGACCATGTCTTGGATCAGGTGCACCCTACTCTTTACACTGACATCCTTGCACGTTAGCACTTTGGAGAAGTCTTTGACAGCAGTTTTTCCCAATACAACATGGTTCTTGATTTCTTGGCTGTTGTTACCATGGATGTTGATCGTGGCTTTCGGTAAAATGAAATTGCTGACAATTTTAATCTTTTCTCCACCTATCTTGATGTTGCCTATTGATCCAGTGGTGAAAATTTCTGTTTTCTTTACGTTGAGATGTTGTCAAGAAGTAGTTCTACTCAGTATCTAATTCCAGAACCAATTCCCCAATCTAGATATTAGAACAGCACCTCACTCCTGATACAAAACTCTATCTTGTTAATCAGCGCTGTGTTAATAGAAATATCATATGCTATGTTGTTATATGCCAATGAGTTCAAACTAACTCTTAGCTGAGCCTCCAGCAAGATTTCACAGGCTGTCAATCGCACAGGAGGAGACTGACTGTCTTTATCCCATGGAGCAGCTGGTGGATTCGAATTGTTTGCCTTTGGCTTGGTAACGTAACTTCTTACCCACTAGGCCAGCAGAGATTGCTAGAAATACCATAAGCAGGTGTTTTTAACAAGCAGAAATTCGTTTCCTCATAATTTAAGAGTCTAGGAGTTTGAATCCAGGGTCTTCATTCTAAGATTTCCTCAACTCTGAAGGATGAGCTTGTTCTTTTCAGCGGCTGCTCCTTGGTTCCCTGGGGATCTCCACATGACTTGGACTGTCTGTCTTACCCCATCTATGCTCCCGAGTTTTCATTCAGTACATTTTTATATCTCAATGAAATTGACTCAAGACACATTCTATATTCTAATCTTGATTCATAAACATAACAAAGTATAGAAAAAGTGTGGCTAGCATAAGGGCCGTAGGTGGGAGCAGTCCCTGTCCATGACATCCCCAAGGCAGAACCAATCTCCTATGAGGTCAGATAAGCCTCCCAGGCTCCCTGAATCTACTTCTACCAATTCCAACACCAACCATCCCTCTCAGAGTTCTTGCTACTCTACTGGGTCTGCTAATTTGTTGCAATGGTCACACAGAACACACACATCCACATTCACAATTATAGTATTTATTAAGGAAGTTGACAGGTTGCAATTCAGGATGAAAACCGCGTACAGTTCTTCAGTTATTTCTCCTTCTAAGCATGCTTTTCAAGCCTTTTGTCCTTCAGCCTCTTAGTTTTAGGCCAATGTTACAAAGCTCTCTTGTTGTCATGTGTTGTCGAATTGCCTGCAACTTATAGCAATCCTGTATACAACAGCTCTGAAGCCTGCCTTGTCCTGAGACAGTCTCAATGGTTCAGACACACCAACCCCCAACGCCCCAGTTAGGATATCAATCAACTTATCCAGGGTCTTCCTCTCCTGCACTGTCCCTCCACCCTTCCAAGCATGACATCCTTCTCTAAGAACATTTGTTTCCTTGGTGGTTCATAGGTTGTTCAAGACTCTTCTCCAGCACCACAACTCAATGCCATGAATTCTTCTTCTGTCATCCTTAGCCACTGTCCAGCTCTGATGCATATAGCAAGTAATTGCGAAGATTATGGTCTGGATCAGGCATGCCTTAGTCTCTAGACTCACATCATTGCTTCTCAATATTCTGGAGAAGTCCCTGACAGCAGATTTTCCCAGTGAGAATCTTTGTCTTCCTGATGTTGAGCTTCAATCCATATTGAAGACTAGTCTTTGACCTTCTGCAGCAAATACTTCAGGTCCTCCTCAGTTAGTCCTTCCACTTATGACATCTTCCCCCCAAGTCCTCCAGCAGGCTTGGACGCAGGTCCTTGGCTCTGGGTCTGTGGGACAACAGTCCTGGTCAGCTCTGTTTCATATTGATCTCTGGTTTTCTGTATTGCTTCTACACTCAACTAGATCCCAGTCTGGACGGTATAGGAACCTCTGTGCTTCCCAAAGGACTAGTGCTGCATTCTCTGCTTTTTATTTCTTGTTGATGGCAAGATTTTTCCTTTTTGTCTCTAAATCTGCTTAAGTCTGATGTGACAGTAAAGCTGGACAATCTCCTTATTAGAAGTCTATGTGCCCTGTTTGCTTATTTCCACCCAGTCTTATTGCAAAAGTGAAGGCCAGGAAACCCATTTTTTACAATCAACTTATTGTACCACACAAAGATACTCCACGGCCACTGGACAGAGGCATCACTCACTCACCCTCACTGCCAGCAAGCCGATTCTGACTCAGTGACCCTTCAGCAGGTACTCGGGTGGCCTAGTAGCGAAGGAATTGCACTGCCAACCCAAAGGTAGGTTGTGCAACTCCTCCCGCTGCTCCAAGGAAGACAGATGGGCCGTCCCTTCCCTTGTGATTTACAGCCTCAGAAAACCCGCTGAAAGGTCAGCTATGAGTCAGTTTTAACTCGACAGCAAGGAATATTGTCTTTAAAATCGTAATGAGGGGAAATGACTAGGGATAATAGAAGGAGAACTGATACCTTTGAGCTGTGTTGCTGGAGAAGAGTGTTGAATGGATCCTAGACTGCTAGAAGAACAAACAGGTTCATCCTAGAGAGGATGAAACCAGGCTGCTCCTTGGAGGCAAGGATTCTGAGATTTCGTCTGATATACTTTGGACATGTTGTAAGGAGGGACCAGTCCTTGGAGAGGGATGTCACGCTTGGGAGGGTAGAGAGACAGTACAAGAGAGGAAAATCCTTGATGAGATGGATTGACTCAGGGACTGGGGTAATGGGGGTCAGTGTGTCAGAGATGATAAGGTTGGATCTGGGTTCAGAGCTGTTGTACAAAGCGTCGTTATGAGCTGGAAGCGACTCGACGTCACAAACAGCAACAATGAGGGGAGACTGCCCGTCTTTCTCCTTCCTCAGAGTCACTGGATTTGAACCAATGAAGGCATGAGGCCATTTGGTTAGAAGACGACAGCAACAAAGGCTTCTGAATAGAGACAGGAGGTTAGGCTTTATAGTTTAAGAGATACAACTGAATCATAACAATATTAAAAAAAAACCTCTCAAGCTCATTGCTGTCTAGTCAGAACAAGCACATAGCCACCCTTCCAGTGGGTTTCCAAAGGCTATAAACCACACGAGAGATTGCCCACCTTTCTCCCTCTGAGGAGCAACTGAATTTGCTTTGGGTTTTTTTTTTTAATAAAATTTTATTTTGTGGTTTTAATGAACATTTAAAGAGAAGTTAGATTTTCATTCATTCGTTGTGGCATATTTTACCCCCTTGTCTTCTCTTCCCCCTCCTCAGTTCACTTTTTTTACCATTTTTTAAAATTAATTTTAATGAAAATTTACAGAGACTTTGGATTTCCATTCATTCATTGTTGCACTTTTTCCTGCCCACCCCTCCCCCCAGTACACTCTTCTCTTTGAAAAGTAAAAGAAAAGTTGCCCCATTGTTTTACAATCCCTTCCCTCAAGTCCACTCCACTATGCAGCCTTCTTTCTGGACTCCTTCAAGACAATAATACCTAAGCACATATCCCTTTTAAACAGTTTTCTCCCTCATCTGTTTCAATGCAGTATACATTATTTATCCCATCTTTCTCAGTCGCCCCTCAACCCTTATGTCAGTCCTGTTTTACAACAGTGGCACCATGCAGTATTTGTCCTTTTGTGACCGAGATCTTTCACTCAGCATAATGTCCTCCAGAGTCACCCATTTTGAATAATATTGAATGAGTTCCTTGTTTTTCAATGCAGCCTAGTATTCCATTGTGCAAATATACCACAGGTTCTCTACCCATTCATTTGTTGATGGGCATTTAGGTTGTTTCCAACTCCTTGCTAATGTGAACAAAGCTGCAATAAGTATGGGTGTGCATATATCTGCTTGGATGTCAGTTATGGTCTCTTTGGGGTATATTCCCAGTAGTGGAATTGCTGGGTCAAATGGTATCTCTATTTGCAACTTTTTGAGAAAGTGCCATACCGCCTTCCACAGTAGTTGCACCATTTTACACTTTCACCAACAGTGAATAAGGGTTCCTGTTTCTCCACAACCTTGCTGGCATTTGTTGCTTGCTGTTCTGTTAAATTTTGCTATTCTGACTGGGGTGAGATGATATCTCATAGTTGTTTTGATTTGCATCTCTCTTAGAGCTAGGGATTTTGAACATTTCTTTATGTGCTGTTGGCCATCTGAATGTCTTCTATGGTGAAGTGTCTGTTCATACCTTGTGCCCATTTTTCAACTGGATTATTTACCTTTATCTTGTGGTGCTCAAGTATTTTATAAATTCTGGATATAAGTCTCTTATCTGACATGTCATTACCAAATACTTTTTCCCAGTCTGTGGCTTCCCTTTTTACCCTGTTGGAGAAGTTTTTGGATGTGCATAGGGATTTGATTCTTAGAAGATCCCATTTATCTATATTATCTTCTCCTGGTTGTAGAGAGCTGGTGAATTTGAACCACCTGTGTTTGCGTTGACAGTGCAACTCCTTATACAGTAGGCCACGGGAACTGCCTTAGGAGCTCAATAAATGCCTTAGCCACCACTTGCATCACTTGTATCATGTACTGGATACTGTTCTGAACGCATTCTGCCTATTCATCTCATTCATTACCTTCCCTGGCCCTGTCATCTGATGGCACTTACTTTGTAGATGAAGAAATTGAGGAACAGAGATATTAAGTTCCTTGCTCGATGTCGCACAGCTCTGAAACAGCAGAGCTGGGATTTGAACCCTAGACAATTTGTCTGCCTGTACTGGGATTCTTGCCATTCCGGCTCTGAGTCCACACCCTTCCCAGCGTCTCTCCCCACAGCCATCGCAACAGAACCCAGGTTGTGGCGGTGCCCACCGGACAGAGCTGGGTGACCATTCCTCGAGAACAGTTCACTGAGTTTGACATACTTCTCATCTGGGGGGCCAAGGCAGGTGGGCCGCTCTGGCCCCCAGTTTCTGTGGACCTGAAAACCCGAGGTAACGTGGTGGTGATGGGCGGGTCCTTTGTGTGGGGTGCGTGGTCCTGGAGGCCCTGGCTCAGTGCACTGTGGCCCCCTTTTTCCCAGTGAAGCTGGGTGCCCCGTGGCTGTACCCGGATGTGGACTTTTCAGAGGACGAGCCCCTGGAAACCAATGTCCGATGGGACTTGCCCACAAAGCTGCCCCACCCAGAGGACATGGTCTGCCAGTTCTACTATCGAAAATGCCAGGATAAAGCCTGGATCCTGGTAAGTGGCAGGGCTCAGGGCCCCTGTTCCCTCAAACCCATGTCAGAGAGATCCGCAGAATAGCTTTAAATCAGAGACCAGCCCAGGGCTCATTGCTCACCCGTCTTCTATGCAATCTTCTGTTTGTCTTCTTCAGCTACACATTTCTCAGAATTCATCTATAAATTCTACATAATCACAATTCAGATCCTACTTGGAATAGTTGAGAAACTCAACAAGCATTCTCTAATATTTTTATGAACACGTCCTCAAATAGCTTAAAGTTACCTAAAAACAAAGCAGAGTCCCCAATTTACGATAAGGTTTCATTCTAAAAACCATTCAGTAGTAAGTCAGTTCGGACTTAAGTTGGATATTATCAGTTGCTCTAGTGATGGGGCAGTAGGGAGCTGCCCTGCTCAGCCAAAGGCCACCCAACAGTTCCATGGAAGAAAGATGGACAGTCTCCTCCTGTGTGATTTGCAGCCTCAGAAAACCCACTAGAGGGTCAGCTATGAGCGCTAGCAGTAAGTTTGAGAGATAAGTTTATTTCAGTGTCTTTATTTATTATTTGTGTGTGTGTGTGTGAATCGTCAAATCAGATCTGACTGGTACAGGAAGAGATTGCCCCTCCTTATCCAGCAGAGCATCTGGTGGATTCGAACTGTGTACCTCTGGGATTGCAATGCAGATTTTTGCCACTAGACCACCAGAGATCCCTGATTTCGTGTCTGTATAAAGTTAATCTTTGTCTTTGGGAATTGGAAACAGTGCCGCTGAGACTGGTAATGTCAGTAAATTACGCACCGCAACTGTGAATGTGGCATGTGTTAGCGATAATCAGATAGTGCAAACCAGTCACAGGCGTGGTTTGTTGTAATGCAAACCAATCCTGAGTTGGGGGGACAGTCTGTAAAAACAGCCAGGAAAAAGAAGAACCACACCAAAAATGCACCAAAACCCCTCACACTCATTGCACCAGAATTGCCTCACAGCTGACCTCGTTGGGTTGCTGAGGTTACGTACTGTTCACCTTCTGCGGAGCCACTGGAGGGCTCACGCCCCCGAGAGGTGTGGCCTTGGAATTACCAGCCCGACTGCTGGTAGACCAGCCACCAGAGCTGCTTTACAGTAACAGTGGGGCAAATGCTGAAAGATAATTGTGTGTAATGCAGCGTATTGGGATCATTCCAAACACCAGATTATTGAATCTTTGCAAAAACTCTTTTTTGAGGTAAGTACAGTTTACGTCTACTCAGTGTGAGGCAGTAAGGAATTACCCATCCAATTCTAATCTTCCAGCTATTTCTCAGGAGAAAAATGGCCAATCTCCTCCCACGTAATTTACGGCCTCTGAAAACCCCTTCAGGGGTGTGAGTGTGTTTCCTCTCTTCTTGTTTTTTTCTTTGGTTTTCTTTCTTTAGTTCTCTGTTTATAGAGTAGGGGTAACTGAACCTCAGAGAAGTTAAATATTCACTCAAAATTTATTGCTGTGGAGTCAGGATTGACTCAGGGCTGACTCTCCAGTGGGCTTTCGGAGGCTGTAAATCCCAGAGGGGGAGATTGCCAGTCTTTCTCCCTCAGAGTCGCTGGTGGATTTGAACCACCAGAAAAGCATGGCCTTTGGATTAGTAGAGCAACTTCTTATAGTCTCCCTAATCTTTATTCATACTAGGTAACCATCTTCCCTCCTAATACTCAGGGATTCTATTCCCAAAGGAAGAAAGGAGAATGGATGTGAGACCACCAGCTGTCTCAGCCAGAACTGTTGACAAAAACACCACTATAAAGAGCAGAATTGCGGGGAGCTCTGGTGGCCTAGTGGCAAGGAGCTGCAACTACAATCCCAGAGGCACACGGTTCGAATCCACCAGATGCTCTACCAGGGAAGGAAGGGCAGTCTCCTCCTGTACCAGTCAGATCTGATTTGACGGTACACTCACACAAAAATAATAAAAAATAAAAAAATGTAAATAAAAGAGCAGAATTGCTATCACTTGTTGCAGACCGAGGGTCCCAAAGAATAGAATAATTTTATAATTATTAATAAAGAGACAAACAGCCAGGAATGAGATAGAGCAGAGAGCGTAAAACAGGGGGTCAGCAGTTCTCCACTGAAGACCTCGAGCCATGCTTCTCTGAGTATTTATTTAGAATCATAAGATAATAAAAGTAAAGTCACAAGGAAGTACAAAACAAAGGATAATGGTGAAGTCTTTTACAGATAAGGCCAAGTTCCTCTTTATGCTAATCTCAAGAGAGAGGGGTTCATTTGACACAAAGAACAATGTTAACTCCTAGGGAACGCCCCATTGCCACAAGGTGGCCTTCAGTTTGTATCAAGCTTCCCTCATTTCCAGCATTTGGTCTACTATTATTAAATTTGATATTCGGCTTCCCTCAATCACTGTTGTTGTGAAAATGGGGTGGGAGTGGAGGCCTGGAAGTGGCAGCATGTCCCCTCTCTAACTTCACAAAGTGGAAGAAGACTCCATTATCAGAATCACCTGCCCAAAGGTGCTTCCTATGCATGAATCAAAATTTGTTGTTGAATCAAAAATTAATGAGTTTTGTAAGCTTCCACTCAAGCCATAATTAAAAAAAAAAAGTTGATGCTATGAATTCAGACATGCCCCTACACTCTAAACTATGGCTACCATCTCTGAGCCCAGCCAACTCTCCCATGGCACTCACAACTTCTCTATTGGTTTCAATAATTTGTTCCTATGGCCACACAGAACTCACATGAAGTACTTACGATTATGAGGTTTATGAGGAGAGTTACAGGTTACAATTCAAGATCAGGAACACTCAGGATACAGTCCTTCAATCTTAGCTCTGCCAAACATGGGCTTCTCTCCGGTCCTCTGTCTTGTGGCCTTGGCCTCTGCCCCACTTGAGCGCATATTACAAAGCTCTTTTAACTGTGATTTTAAATGTTTCCTTCCCTGATAAGTGCCCAAAGGTGCCCGTTGCATCAGTAAGTCCCCAACCCCAAGGGCCCTCAGCTTCTCACTCATGGACACCTCCCTCTTCTGCTTATCCCTGATTCTGCTGCTGCTGCTGTTTCTCCACCATTGTTCTGCACTGTCTTGATCTTTCAAACTGACATGCTGGGATTTCAGCTGTCTCCTGAGTCAAGGAGTTTCTGTGCAGGGATGTCAAGTCCAGAGGTTATATTGGACTCCTGTCACTTTTCTCTTGATGACAGTGTTGTTGTGTACCATGGAGTTGGAGCCAACCCATAGTTTAACCTCCAGGAGGTTTTCAGAGTAGGTTAATTACACAAAAAGAGAGTGCCCATCTTTCTCCCATGGAGCAGCTGGTGGATTTGAACCACATACCTTTGGGTTCCCAGAGCTATTCCTTACCACTAGGCCACCAGAGCTCCCTTGATGGCAATGAGATCCTCCTTTTCCACCTCTGAGTGCCTAGCAGGATGGCAAAGCTGACCAATCCCCATATTGTGGTTGTTGATTTTAAGTCAAGCACAACTCACAGCGACCCTATGAACAAAAGGTCTGAAGCCCCTCTACAACTATCGACATTTATCAAAGTTTATAGAGTCTCTGGAGACATATTGTTTAAAGTGGATGCCACTCCTGCTTCCAATCCCCGCAGTAGCATTCCACATATCCTATTTGCATGATCCCCCCTAAAGGATGCCATTTACCTTATTTCTATTACTAACAAACAAAATAGTCCCCTTGACAAGCCACAAACACCTCACATTTGCGTAGTCTTGCTCAGCCACGTGGTAGGAGTTAGAGAGGCCATGGCTAGAAGAATCACAGTAGTAAGGCCCTGCACCCAGAGATCACGAGTGCAATTCTGAGTGATGACAGATGCAGACCCTGCAACCTGATTTACTGAGTGCTAATCCCAGTTCTGGTTCTCACGAGCTCTATGACCATGGGCAAGCTGCTTCCCCTCCCTGGGCCTCAGATTCCTCATCTATAAAATGGGGAGACAAATAAGAATCCTCTCAAGAACAGGTTTGAGTCACTGAACACCCATGATTGTAAACCAGAGGAATGGTGGAAGGACATTGACGATATCATCCATGAAGAGAACAAAAGGAGAGTAGGGAGCTCTGGTGGCCTAGTGACAAGAAGCTGAATTGCAATCCCATAGGCGTATGGTTCGAATCCACCAGATGCTCCGCTAGAGAAGGAGGGACAATCTCTTCCTGTGCCAATAGGATCCTACTCAACAGTACACAACAAGGGAGGGGGACAAAGAAGGAATAGAAAGAAAAATCCAAAATTATGTCAGAAGAGACTATGAAAATTGCATTAAAGTGCCGAAAAGCCAAAACAAAAAGAAGAGATGCCAAAGTAAATGAACGAAAAATTAAGGACAGCTTAAGAAAACAAAGCAAAATATTATAACAAAATGTGCAAAGAGCTGGAGTCAGAGGATAAAAAGGAAAGAACTCACTTGGAATTTCTCAAAGTGGAAGAACTAAAAACCAAATTCATGCCTCCAGTTGCAATACAGAGAGATGCTATGAGCAAAATGTTGAACCAAGAAGTATCAAAAGATGGCAGGGATAAGTACACTCATTGTACCAAGAAGATTTTGTTGATATTGAAAAATATCAGGAAGTAGTACATGAACAAAAGCCAATGGTAATGAAGGATCACGTTCAAGCTGCACTGGAGGTACAGGCAAAAAATAAAGCCCCAAGAATCGATGGGTTCCCAATGGACATGCTTCAACTATAATAGATGTAGCCCTCAATGTGCTCACCAGTGTATACCAGGAAACTTGGAGGACAGCTGACTGGAAGAGATCCACATCTGACCTCATTCCCAAGAAAGGTGACCCAACAGAATGTAGCAATTCTCAAACAATATCATTAATATCACATGGAAGCAAAATATTGCTGAAGATCATCCAAAAATGGTTAGAAAAGTACATTGACAGAGAAATTCAGAAGTTCAAGTGGAGTTTAGAAGATATCGTGGCACCAGTGACATCAGTGCTGATGTGAGATGGCTCCTGGTGGAAAGTAGAAAATACCAGAAGAATGTCTATTTGCTCCTTGTTGACTATGCAAAGACATTTGACAGTGTGAATCATAACAAATTATGGCTGGCATTGAGAAGAATGGTAATCCCAGAACACTTAATTGTGCTCATGAGAAACTGATACCTAAATCAAGAAGATGTTGTCTGAATGGAGAAAGAGAACAACGCATGGTGTAAAATCAGGAAGAGTGTGTCAGGGTTGTGTCTTCCCTCCATACCTAAACAAATAATTCAAGAAAGTGGCCTCTATGAAGAGGAATGTGGCATCAGGATTGGAGGAAGACTCATCAATAACCTGCATTATATAGATGATAACAGCCTTGCTGAAAGTGAGGAAGATATGAAAGTCTTGCTATAGAAGATCATGGTCTACAGTCTTCAATATGGATTACATCTCAATATCAAGGATTACATCTTAATATCAAGGATACAAAGATTCTCATCACAAGACCAACAGTCAACATTTTGATAGATGGATAAAGGATTGACGCTGTCAATTATTTTATCTTGCTTGGATCAACAAACAATACCTTTGGTCTAACAATCAGGAGATTGGGAAATGTATTAAATTGGGCAAGTTTGCTGCCAAAGACTTCTTCAAAATGCTGAAGAGCAATAACGTCAGTTGGAAGGCTAAGGTGTGCTTGTTTAAGGCCGTGGTCTTCTCAATCACCTGCTATGCAAGGGAGCACTGGGCAATGAATAAGGATGACTGAAGAATTGATGCCTCTGAGTTGTGGTGCTGGAGAACAGTGCTGAATATCCCATGGACTGCCAGAAGAACAGATTGGCTGTGTAGTAAGTGTAGCCAGAGCGCTCTGGAGACAGAGGGCAAAATTTTGTCTTTCATACTATGGACACGTAGCTGGAGAGGCTGTTCTTTGGAAAAGGACATCAAGCTTGGAAAGATGGAGAGTCATTGAAGGAGAGGAAAACCCCCAACAAGACAGATTGATATGGTGACTTCAGCAATGGACTCTAGTATGTCAGAGAGGATGAGGATGGCACAGGAAAGGACAGACTTCAGGTTGCCTGTTCATAGGGTTGCTATGAGTCGTACTCAACTTGATGGCACCTACCAGCAATAATAGACAAATAAGAGGCTTCGTGGCATAGTACAGTACTTGTCAGGCTGCTAACGGAAAGGTTAGAAGTTCGAATCCTCCAGACCAAGGAGGATGGGCTGTCTTCTCACATAAAGATTTACAGCCTCGGAGCCCAATAGAGGGTCACTATAGATAGGGAGCAGCTCATTGGCCGTGGATTCAGGGGCCAGGCCTGGCATGTAGGCTGGCCAACTAAACCTGGTTTTCCTGGTGCTGGAAGCCCTGTGTCCTGAGAACTGCAGACACATCAGGATAATCGGTTACTCTGCTGTCATATGGGTTTGCTGCTTGACCCCATCCGCTCCTCTGTCTCTCTTTCAGCTGGAGCCAGAACTAGAGTCCGTACGCCCAGCCCCTATTAAGATCCACGACCTGGAGCTAGCCACTGGCTACGAGATGTCTGGCCGCTGTCGGATGCAAGTAGAAGAGGATCTGTGGGGCGAGTGGAGTCCCATTCTGTCCTTCCAGACCCCGCCCTCTGGTGAGGATCTCCAGCCATGCCCCCAAACCCTGACCTTGCTCCAGGAAGCTGATTTATCCTGTTCTCTTTTATCCTCCATTTCTTCACCACTGTCAGCTCCAAAAGTATGGGTGTCTGGACATCTCTGTGGACCGTCAAATGGACAGGAAGCCCTGCTTATGTGGAAGGTGAGCTTCAAGGATCATTCACATTTCTCTGCTTATGTCAGAGAAACCCAAGTAGCAACGATGTGAACAAGACAGGGTTTCATGTAAAGGGAGTATGGGGACTGGCAGATTGAGCTGATGTGACAGTTCCACCATTCAAGGCTCCTCCAACACACTGCTCGGGTATGTTTTATGTGTTGCCTCATGTTACAGAATGAATGCCTGTGTTCCAGCCATCTCATCTCCTGTCCACCCAACCTTCAACAGGGGTGGGGGTGGGGGTTGTTGCTTTGTTTTTGTGTGGTGGATTTTTTTTTTTAAATCTATATCAGTTCCCAGTGAAATAGAATTAAAAAACAAGAAAATATAAGAGAACATTTCTTTCCAGGACAGAGACACACCTCTGACTCTTGCCCACTAAATATCAATCACTGAGGCAGCTGAAACTCCTACAGATTCCTTCAAAGTCTTGTCAAGGGTCCCACTCCTCTTGCTATACATACTCCTCTATACAACAGTGGAAAATTTGGAATTTCCTAAGAACCGAACAGGATACATACTTGATTTTGTTGTTAGGTGCCGTTGAGTTGATTATAACTCATCGCGACCCTATGAACAACAGATCTGAACCCTGCTCTATCCTGTGCCGTCCTCTCCATCTCTGATAATACTTGTGTCTATTATAATCACTGTGACAATCCATTTTGTTGTGGGTCTTCCTTTCTTTGACTGTCCCTTCACACTTTCATGATGTCCTTTTCAAGGGCTGGTCCCTTCTGACAACATGCCCAATATATGTGAGATGAAGTTTTATCATCCTTGTCTCTAAGGAGCATCCTGGTTGCACTTTTCCCAAGACATACTTGTTTGGTCTTTGGGCAGTCCATGAGATATTCAGTTCTCTTCTCCAACACCACAATTCAAAGGCACTGGTTCTTCTGTTGTTCTTCTTCATTGTCCAGTTCTCTGATGCATACCAGATGATTGAAGAGACCATGGTTTGAATCAGGTACACCTTAGTCTTTAAAAGACATCATTGCTCCTTCACACTTTAGAAAGGTTCTTGACAGCAGATTTTCCCAATGTAACATGTTTTCTTCACTGTTGGCACCAAAGGTGTTGATTGTGGATCCAAGGAAGATGAAATTGTTGATAGCGTCAATCTTTTCTCCATCTATCATGGAGATAAGGGAGCTCTGGTGGCCTAGTTGTAAGAAGCTGTGCTGCAATACTGAAGGCACAAGGTTCAAACCCACCAGCTGCTCTGTGGGAGAAAAATGAACAATCTCCTCCTGTTAGATTACCTGCTTCTGAAAATCCACTAGAGGGTTGACTATGGATTGGTTCCAACTCAACGGTACTCAACAACAACCATCATGGGGATAATATTCTTGATATTGATGTTGATCATCAATATTTTAATGTTGGGATATTATCCATATTGAAGACTGTAATCTTTGATCTTCGTCAGCTAGTGTTTCTATTCTTCTTCACTCTCAACAAGCATGGTTGTGGTGAGGCAGTGAGGCACTTGCCTACCCACTAGCCCACAGCCATGGGGACAATTCCAAGTTATAGTGACCTTGTAGGACAGAGAAGAACAATCTAAGGTTTTATTATTATTATTATTATTATTATTATTATTATTATTATGTGTACCATCAAATCATAGGGTTTTCGCCCCTATAATTTGATGGTACACACATAATAATAACAACAATAATAATTAAAACGTAGATTGGTAGAGTACCATGGACTTGGGCATATCTGCGGTCAAGGACCCCTTTAAAGACTAAGGTATACCTGGCCCAAGCCACGGTAGGTTTTATTTTCCAATTCTTTCATGTTGTTGTTGTTGTTGATTGCCTTTGAGTCGAGTATGACTCACAGGGATCCTATGAACAAAAGGCCTGAAGCCCCTGTGAAAATGAGACAAGAAATAAGAAAGACCTAGGAAGAATTGATGCCTTTGAACTGTAATGTTGGAGAAGAGCAGTGCGTATCCCTCTGAATGCCAAAGAACAAACAAATCTATCTTGGAGGAAGTGTAGCCAGAGTGCTTCTTCGAGGCCAGAGTGGGGAAACTTTCTCTCTAATACACCGGGCATGTTGTCAGAAGTGCCAATCCTTGGAAAAAGACATCACACTGGGGAAAGTAGAAGGTTAGTGAAAGAGATGAACCTCACAGGATGGATTGACAGAGTGAGTGCAACAGTGAACTTGACCATGGCGGAGACTGAGAGGATGGTGCAGGACAGGGCAAAAGTTTCCAACTGTTGTTCATAGTTGCTATGAGTTTAGTCAACTCGACGTGCCTAATAACAGTAACAAAGCATTACATTAAAGCAGTATTTATCTTAATATGTATGAATGATTGATTGGAGTGCTAATCTGCTCTGAAATTTTCCTGCTCCCTTCAGGCCCCAGGACCCTGTGTGCAACTCAGCTACAGAGTTCAGCTCTGTATTCATGGTCAGAGGAGGCAGTGGGAAGGGCCATGCTGTAACTTCTCCATCCCCGCCCAGGCGGAATGGGTCACGGTGGCTGCTCTCAATGCCATTAATGACGTCTTCACCAACCTCTCCTTGGCCTGCTCAGGTAAGAGGCCGTGAACGTGCGTGCTCCACACAGTGACCGGGAGGGGCAGTGGACTGGGAGAACTTCTGAGTGGGCAAACAAGACCTCTCCCCACCCTCTTTTCAGGATCTGCCCCCCATTACGTGTCGGTCAGCAGCACTTCCGAAGGCAAGCTGCTGGTGAACTGGCAACAGGGAGCCGGGGAATCGTGGGAGCACGTGGTAGACTGGACTCAAGATAGGGACACCCCCCGGAACCTCAGCTGGATCTGGCTTCCTCCTGGGAACCTTAGTGTCCTGTTGCCAGGTAAGGCCTTGGGACACTGGTGTTCCCATCCTGGCTGGTAAAGGAGGGCAGGCTAACGGGTGATCTGGGAGGAGAGAGTTTTGTGGTTCAAACATCATTCTTCAGGCAATAAAGATCTGTTGAGCTTCCTGCTCTAGGCTTCCAAAACCCACTTCCACTGAGTGAACTGTGACAGTGGTCCTGCAGGACTGACTAGAACTGCCCATTGGCCTTTTAATCCTTGCGGACTCTCACTCATCTTGCCTCTGCACATCAGCGAGACAAACTGCCAACCCTAACCCTCACCCTGCCTGCCTTCATTTCATATCTTCACTTACTCATTTATTGTCCCTGAGTCAAAACTGACTTAGACCTGCCTCTCCAGAGGGTTTTCTAAAGCTGTAAATCCCATGGAAGGCCATTCCCAATCCTTCTCCCACACCAGCGAGTCCTGCATGAATACGTTTTTAAAAAGAATCATTTCAGCATATTGTTGCTATATGCTTCTAGTCAAAACTGACTCTTAGCTGACCTTCCAGCTGGTTTCCAGAGGCTGTAAATTACACAGTTGTTGGCCATCATTCTCCCTTGGAGCACATAGGCCACCAGAGCTCCCTTTCAATATGTTGTTATTGTTGTTGTTGTTGTTGTTGTTCTTGTTGTTAGACACTGTGGAGTCAATTATGACTCATAGCAACACTATGAACAGCAGATCTGACCACCCTCACACTTTCTGACACACACAAGCCCATTGCAGCTGTCATTGTGTCAGTCCATTGAGTTGAGGGTCTTCCTCTCTTTCACTAGCCCTCCACCTTTCCAAGAGTGATGTCCCTCTCCAAAGACTAGTCTCCCATAGCAACATGCTCAAAATATGCGAGACAAAGCTTTACTGTCCTTACCTCCAAGGAGCACTCTGGCTGCACCTTCTTCAAGACATATCTATTTGTTCTTCTGGCAGTCAATGGGATGTTCAGTGCTCTTCTCCAACACCACGGCTAAAAGGCATCAATTCTTCTTCTGTCATCCTTATTCATTGCCCGGCTCTCAGATGCATAGCAAGTCATAAAAAAAACCACACACACACAGCCTGAACCAGACACACCTTAGTCCTCAAACTGTTACCCGTGCTCCTCAATAATTTGGAGGAGTCCCTGGCTGCATACTTTCCCAGTGCGATACGTTTCAACCTGCAGTCAGTACAAAAAATAGTCAATGAGATCCTTTATAGCATCGTGCTCCTTCTCCTGTCTGTTAAACCTTGTATTTTATTGGTGTGTGAAACAAAGCTTTGTAATCTCCCCATCCCTTTGTGTTTCTTTTGTTATTTGAGTGAAAGTTTACAAATCATATTGAGTGTCATTCAATCACTTATAGATATTTTGTTTTATAACAGTAATTTGTTGTTGTTGCTGTTAAGTGCCGTCGAGTCGCAGGCGGCTCATAGCGACCCTATGAAGGAGAGTCCTTGACACTTCGGTGCCTTTCATCTTCTCTCCAGGTTCATAGGCTTTCCGGAGGCAAGCTATTATGAAGTGGATGCCACTCCTCCTTCCACATAACAGTAATTACTATGGGTTAATTAATGTGTTACAAGGTCTAACCAAGTCCTTATTGTGGATTGCCTTTCCTTTCACCCAACATAACTATTTATTAATTTTCACCCACCAAGTCCAAGGTGCCCTTATTGTATACCAGTACATGATTATCTGCCCTGGATAAAGCAGAATTCTTTAGTCACTAGAACTTTTGTTCCAGGCAGTGCAGGTAGACAATAAGATCACCTGGTTTTTCTTGGGTGACTACTATCTGCACCCAATCACTTGAGTTTCCTTATAAAGTGAGTCACTGTTATTTTAATGCTTGATTTACAGATGAGGAAACAGGCCCTGGGAAGGTAAGCAACTGGCCCATATGGCAAGTAGGTGGCAGAACCAGAGTGTAAGCCACATAGTCAGGCTCCCGCAGCCCAGCCTGGAACCATCACCCTATCCTGCCTCTCAGTAATGTCTTTGCCTTCAAGGAGCCACCATTCTCGTGGGGCATGTGGTCGATGAAACAAACAAATATATCTGTAAAGCAACTGGAGAAAAATTAATAAATCAGAAAGAGGGGGAAGAGGGAGAACTTGTTCTCTTAGGAAGAGAAATTGGAAAAAGATTTTTCTGCAGGAGTTGTATTTGAGTGGAGACCTGAAGGGAGTCAGGGAGAGGCCATGTGGGTGTCTGAGGGAAAAACATTCTGGGGAGAGGGAACAGCCAGTGCAAAGGCCCTGAGGCACAGATCTATGGTAGAGGAATCACACTGAGGCAGATACAGTGGAAGAGTGAGCTAGGGAGTGCCTTGGGGCAGATGAGGTTGGGGTCTTGTTAACTAGAGGACAACTTGGACTTTGAGCTTGAGTGAAGTGGGAGGTCTGGAGGGTTCTGAGCAGTGAAGAGATGGACTCTGAGTGTTTACATGCGCCCTCTGGTGGCTGTAGAGGGAACAAACTGAGAGACTGGGAGTTGGAGATCAGGACCGAGGCACTTGCATTGGTTCAGATAGGAGGCGGAGGGGCTGGACCAGGTAGTGCCTAAGAAACAGAGAGGAGCAGGCAGGTTCTAGTCGGTAGTCTCAGGGCAGAAGTTTGAGCTATGTGTGTGTGTGTGTGTGTGTGTATGTGCATTCAAAGGTGAATTGTTGTTGTTGTTGTTGTTGTTGTTATGTGCTGTTGAGTCGCTTGCAACTCATAGCAACCTATGTACAACAGCCCTAAACTCTGCTCTGTCCTGTGCCAATCTCAATGTCTCTGACACACCCACCCCGATTACCCCAGTCACTGAATCAATCCACCTCATAGAGGGTCTTCCCCTCATGCGCTGTCCCTTCACCCTACCAAGCATGATGTCCCTCTCGAAGGACTTGTCCCTAAAACATGCCCAAAGTATATCAGATGAAGCCCCAGAATCCTTGCCTCCAAGGAGTAGCCTGGTTTAACACTCTCCAGGATGAATCTGTTTGTTTTCTTGACAGTCCATGGTACATTCAATACTCTTTTCCAGCACCACAGCTCAAAGGCGTCAATTTTCCTTCTATCCTCCCTAGGATGCAACTCTCTGATGCATAACTGACTGCAAAGTGGATTACTCAACATTATTATGTACCATAGAGTCGGAACCGACACATAACTGACCTGCCAGTGGGTTTTTCAGAGGCAGTTGATGGCAAGGGAAGAGAGAGCCCATCATTCTCCTGCGGAGAAGCTGGTGGCCTTGAACCAAGTGCCTTCGGGATTGCAGCACAACTTTTTCCCACTAGGCCACCAGAGGTTATCCAATAAGCAAGCTAACAACACAAACTCACTACTGTTGAGTGGGTTCCAACTCACAGCAAGCTTTCCCTGGGTTTCCGAGGCAGTAAATCTCGGTGGGAGGAGCCCCTGGTGGAGGCTTACAGCCTTTGGGTTAGAAGCCCTATGTGCTACTGAATTATGTCCTCAGAGCTGCTAGGAACAGTTGTTTCACGACCGATTAGTAAATAAGCACGAGCAAACCCATGCTTACCTCGTTTATGGACCACTCTGTCCACATGAAGGACTGCTCACTTGTAAAGCAGCTTTCATTTTAGAAGAAGCTGCTGTGGGTTTGGAAGAGAGGCAGATACCAGCCGTACGTACATAGTAGCAGATTCAGGGGTGGGGGGTGCGCAGGGAATGTAAAAGTATGCACTACAGAGAAGTAAGTAAGCACAAATAGGCCTGTGCTTCCCTTGATTATGGGAGAGAAAGCCTCACACTGGGAGGGAGGGTTGCATCTGTTGTCTGTGTATTATCTGATCGCAATTACCCATGATGCTGCTGGGTACTTGGGTCTGGGATCCACAAAGGATTCTGGGAAGGGCTTGCACTGGGGATTCAGTCATTGGTCTAGAGGACTTGAAATAGAGTGAGAAGTTATCGGTGGAGGCATCTAGGACAAGTCTTGAGGTCTGCGAATATGCTAATGAATAAAAGACAAATAGAACAAAATAAAACGCCACACACATTGCGGTAGAGTTGCTGCTGACTCCCAGAAGCCCAACAGGACAGGGTAGAACTGTCAAGTGTTGTAATCTTTTCTTTTTTTTTTCTTCCCCACATCAGATGGGTAGTGTGCCTATGTCGTAACAAGGTTTAAAGGGTGGCACATGTCATACAGAAGTATGAAGTCCCAATCGTCATGCTTATGAACTGGAAAAGGATCAAGTGTTGTAATCTTTATGGAAGCAAACTCCTTCTCCCTTGGAACAGCTAGTGGATTCGAACAGCCAACCTTTCTGTTAGCAGCTGAGTGTTTAATGAGAGTTCTTTGAGTGAAAGAATTAAACTCAAAGCTCAAATTTTTTGCTGTGGATTTGGAACCGACCCACAGCTGACCCTCCAGCGGGGTTCTCAGAGACTATAAATCGCACAGAAGGAGATTGCCCATCTTTCTCCCACAGAGCAGCTGGTGGATTTGAAACATCTATATGCCTTTGAGCTGTGGTGCTGGAGAAGAGTATTGAGAATACCATGGACTGCTAGGAAAACAAACAGATTTGTCCTGGAAAGGGTTAAACCGGGTGGCTCCTTGGAGACAAGGATTCTGAGGCTCCGTCGAACATACTTTGGACATGTTGTGAGGGGAGACCGGTCCTTGGAGAAGGACATCATGCTTGGGAGGGTGGAGGGACGGCGCAGGAGGGGAAGGCCCTCTATGAGGTGGATTGATTCAGTGACTGGGATAATTGGGATGGGAGTGTCAGAGACAGTGCAATTGGCACAGGACAGAGCAGAGTTTAGGGCTGTTGTACATAGGGTCGCTATGAGTCGCAGGCGACTCGACAGCACATAACAACCACAACAGCAACAACATCTGCCTTTGGGGTTATACCATAGCTCCTTATCACTAGTTCAACAGAGCTCCCCAGGGTGGGGGGATAATAGTACCCTCAATTCTGGGAAATTCTTAGGCTGTGTTGAAGCAATGGCTTTTGAGGAGAGACTCCCTGCTTGCTGTCCCTGTAGTGATAGGCGCCACACCCATGTCCCTTCATTTGACTGCCTCTCCAGGCTGCCAGCACCTGCATTTCCTGACCCAAGGGTTTCTGTTGGGCACTGAAGTGTTTTGCCCATGTGGGTAACAGGCCAAAGTGCAGAAAGATATCAGGCCACTTAGAAGCACCCCATCAATCAGTAACTGATGAGAAGCAGTTGGTGGCTCAGAACTCCAACTTCCTCACCCCTGGGGAAGACGACTCTGAGAGGTGTGCTCTACTGTCTCCATGAGGTTCCCAATGTAATCACATGCCCGTCACTGGCTGTCTTCTCTTTCCCATTGACTTGCTGGTGCTGCCTGCGGCTCATAAAAGAGCTTGTACTCACATCCCTGTCTCCGGGTCTCCTGCGAATGTACCCACATGGTAAAAAATCAGTGGGGTGTGAGGCAGCCAACCCTAACTGGACTTTGTGCCTCTCTTCCTCAGGACCTTTCGAGAAAGGAGTCCCCTATCAGATTACGGTGACCACAGTGTCTCCTTTGGGCTTGGCTCCTGCCCCCTCAGTCTGGGGGTTCATAGAGGAACTAGGTAAGAGGTGGGACTGAAGGACAGAGGGTCTTGGAACCATCCAGCAGGTCTGACCCACTGGCTTTCTCCCAGAACCCCTAATGGGACCTGAGCTTCGGAGGCTCCAGGATGCCCCCTCAGGGGCTCCCACCATCACATGGGGAGAGGTCCCAAGGCACCAACTCCGAGGTTACCTCACCTACTACACCCTGTGTGCCCAGAGTGAAACCAGGTCGCCCAGTTGCAGGAATGGTAAGTTTCCAAGTCCCTAGAAGACCTTCCACATCAGTCTGTTCTCCCTCATCAGTCTGTCCCATCCCTTGTTCACAGGTGGGTCCCTGGGCTCCCCCTCAACCCCAGGGCAAAAGCATAATGCCATTGACACACTCCCCCAGAGGGTAATAAACATCCTAGCTATCATTGTAACGGGCTATCACTTGGCCATTAAAGATGACGACTTGGATCTATATTTATTGACATTAAAAGATGCCTGCCATCTTTTATTAAGTGAAAAAGATAGAAAGGATTCCAAAATTCCACAGACAGTTCTATTTTTGTAAAAATAAAGTCAGTATAGAGCAAAGCACTGGTGAAAATATGCACAGAAATTTGCTACAATGTCAACAGAGCTTGTAGGATTACAAATCATTTTTATTTCTTTTTCATGCTTTTGAGTATGCGTTGACTGTTTACCCAGAGCACGAATGAGTTTTTAAAAATATTTTATTGCTCTTTTCCCCCCTAAGTACAAAAATTAACTGCATATTACAAAAGACATAAAATATTTATAGACATATACAAAATAAAGAATATCAGCATTCACTTTGTTCTCTGATGCTGACAATACAGCATCCAGAATTTCCTGAAGGTGCTAACGTAGAACTAAGAGTATGCACTGCTGTTGTTTTATTTTCAAATTTCAAGTATACCCAAGTAGAAAGTATGACAAATCTCTAGTACCCACTACAGTGTCTCAACATTTGTCATTATTTTGCCTATTTTTTCATCTATCTCTCCACGTATATATATTTTTTTTAAATCCCCTGGAATTCTTAGTGTCATCTCATGCCTAAGTATTTTAGTATATACCTCACGATTTATCCCTAACTGACAAGGACGTGTGTGTGTGTGTGTGTGTGTGTGTGTGTGTGTGACTCTACACACCCAACTGGAAAAAAAAATGCAATCGCTGTCAGGTGGGAACTGACTCGTCACTGACCTTCCAGCTCACGTTAAGAGGCTATAAATTTCACCAGAGGGAATTGCCCATTCTCCCCCCACCCCGCCCCGAGAGCAGATGGCAGATTCAAACTGCCTGCCTTTGGGTTGGCAGCACAACTCCATACCATGAGGCCACCAGAGCTGCTCCTCTGGTTTCATAGAAATAATGTTGTTGTTGTTGTGTGCTGTTGAGCTGGAGCCAACCTGGACCTGACCCTGGGCTGGGAGGAGATTGCCCATCCTTCGCCTGCAGAGCTTCTGGTGGATTTAGACAGCGTGCGTTTGGGATTCCAGCACAACTTCTTACCACAAGGCACCAGAGCGTCCACTCTTTTCTTTTTTTCTTTTGAGCGTGTAATACTTTTTTTTTGTTTAAAAATAGTGTACTACTTCAAAGTGGCATCTGACGTCTTTTATTTTTTTAAGCTAAACTGGTTTTGTTTGCTTGTTTAAAGATGGCATCAGGGGATAGTAGAGGTTCAGTATGAAAACTACTGGAGGCCAATAATCTCAGGGCTTCATCCAGTCTCTTTGAATCCACTAAGTCTGGATTCACATTTCCACCCCCCCCCCTTCCTTATAGGCTTTAGAAACACAACAAGTCAAGCCATAATTCCTTTGACATGATTCCTCTAAAGGAAGAAAGAATCGGTTGCTTTTGAGTTGACCCCTACACGTGATGACCCCATGATTGTCCCAGTGAACATACGCTCTGTGCAACTGTCAATGACTGATTTTTATTTTATTTTTTTTTAGAAGTAGATCACCAGGCCTTTCTTCAGAGGTGCTTCTGGGTGGATTCACACTTCTGGCTTGCCAGTCAGCAGCCGAGCCTGTTAACCGTTCCCACCACCCAGGGACAACCCCCCTGCACACATACACATTCACAAGCATATGTACAAACCCCTAAACCCCTATGCTGTGGAGTTCTGTGCAGCATGTCAGACTGGGGCCATGTCTACGGAGAGGCATGAGGCAGGGCAGGTGGGTGGTGATGGGGAGGAGGGTTCATCAGCAAAGTCCTCAGTGAACTGGCATTTGAACAAAGACCTAAAGGAGTCGAGGGAGGAGCCATGTGACAATGGGGGCGTAGAGTGTGCCAGGTGAGGGAAGAGAACGTGCAAAGCCTGGGTGTAGGGCTGTACCTGTCCCCTCAACCTCTTGGATTGTCTCCTTCAGTGAGTGCAGGCACCCGGAATGTCACCCTGCCCAACCTTTACCCGGGCACATGGAAGCTGTGGGTGAGAGCATCCACCAGGGCCGGCCAGGGCCCACCTGGTCCCAGCATCCAGCTGCACTTCCCAGGTAGAGGGCCTGAGGGGGCCTGCCTGCAGGGAGGGTCCCATTCTGTTTAGGGGATGTCTGGAACCATTACTAGGTGGGCAACTGTCTGACTGGGGGAGTAGGGGCTGTTGACAATGGATCTTTTTAGTTGCTTAGTGCAGCTCTGTTGAAAATTTGTGTCTTTCACTCACACCCCTGCCCTAACCCTAAACCCCTAAGCCAGTATTGGCCCCTCACTTGGTCTTGGCCTTGGCCTTGGCCTATGCACCAGCCTCTCTCCATTCTAGGAAACCTCCATCCTTAGCAGTCCCAAGCCCCGCCCACCCACCATCCTTCCTCCCTCCAACCCCGTCTCCTCCTTAACCCTCCTCCCCACAGATAACACAGAGAAATGGAAAGTTCTGCCAGTTGTCATACTTCTGTGGGTCCTGTTCCCAGTGATCTTCATCCTAGCCACCTCTGAAAGGTGAGACTTCAGATCCATGGGTCTCTTCCTTGGGGGTGGGGGTGGGCAGACGTTAACAGAGCTTGGGGCAGGGAAGCTCTAGCGGCCTGGTCTGTAGGGAGTTGCACTGTGGGGTTTTTTCTCAGAAAAAGATGGGACACCTCCTCCGTGTCATTTACAGCCTTGGACACCTGATGGAGGATCACCTAGGGGGCGTTCTGACTCGATAGCAATGAGTTTGAGGGATTTGGGGGGAATGAGGACAGAGGTAAGCCCTGAGGATACACGGGTGATCCTGGGACCCCTGTCCTGACTCTTACCTGCTTGCAGGTGTGTCCACCTTTGGCACAAGGTGCTGCCCCACTGGGTCTGGGACAAAATTCCGGACCCTGCCAACAGCAATTCCAGCCAGACCCACATTGAGGTGAGCCCCAAAGTGGCCCTATCAGGGTTCACTTGGGGGTGCCTGGGATATCCTAGGGGGATGACAAGAAGCAGAGGGGTCAAAGGCCACCATCTGAGCCTCATTCCTTTTCAGGAAGGGCCCCAGGCCCAGACCCTCCGGGACGTTCCCATCCTGGAAGTGCAGGAAATTGAGTCACCGAAGCCAAATGCAGAGTCTCCACCGCCCCCTGCTACACTTGACTCGGGGTATGAGAAACACTTTCTACCCACACCAGAGGAGCTAGGCCTCCTGGGACCGCCCAGACCTCAGGCGCTGTCTGAACCTGCAGACCACGTCCCAGGAGTGCTCACCTCAGCGGGAGATGAGCCCTGTTGACAGATAAAGACACTGAGGTTCCCAGAAGCAAGGGCATTTGGCTGAGGGCACCCAGCTGTGAAGAGTAGGGCCTGAAAGAACCTCCCCAAAAAAAGTGCTGGCCCCAGCAGAGACAAGAGTGTGCTATCACAGAAGTAAAGGAAAACGTAGGGAATTAAGAGCATCAGCTGCCTCCTTAAGGCTGTCCTGCTGTCCCCGAACGGCTCAGAAAACTGCCTTGAGTCTGAGCTGATTCTCCAGCCGGCTCTCTGGGGCAGTTGGACATCACACCAGAAGAGACTGAACATCTTTCTCCGTTGGAGCCTCTGGAGGATTCGAACCATCAGAGAAGAGCCAGGCGGAACTGCAAATGGGCACAACTGCCAGCACCCCTTGCAGCTGGGACTGCATTCTCACCACTGCAATGGGAGCCACTGTCACCCTCTCCCCCAGGCTGAGGAGCCTTAAAACACTTTTGGGGGGGGGTCCTTCCACTGTCTCCCTTTCCCAAGAGCCAGAGGACTGATGTGCCTCGTGACTGTGCCTCAGCGGAGGCGAAAGCAGGGCAAGAAGTGGGCCAGAACCACGTCTCGGAACGACCCCACAAATCAGAGCTGCCCGGAGATGGAAATGTTTGGGTTTTTATTGCTGCTGTACTGTTCGACCTTTTTTTTTTTTTCATTTGTTTTTGTTACAGCACCTAAACAGCTACTGTCACTGACTCATAGTCTTTGATTCTAGAAGGTTTTTTTGATTCTTGATTTCTCACCAGGAAGCTGGGTAGGGAGGAGGCTCTGTGTGAGCAATACACTCATTTCAAGCTGTCCGAGTGTTTTAATATTTTATTTTTCAAGTATAAAGGTTTTGTTGCAGAAGGAGGCCAAGGATCACAGGTAGTGGCAAGGGGTCCAGAAGCCCAGGTGGAGGTGGAGATGGGGCCAGCTGGCTCCCAGGTACCATGGTCAGGTCCATGGTGCCCTGTCTGTGCCTGGGACCCTCTGCTGGTTGCCAAGAGGCCGAGGTAGCTGTGAGAGGAGCTGGGCGTGGCTGGTGCAGCCTCACATAACCGCACAACACTGGCACGTCTTTTGTTTAGGGCCGCTCGCCTCTTCGCCCTCAGTGGGGGCAGGTGGCTCAGGCTGCCGGGCAGGGGCATAGGTGGGCACAGGGTGGGCACTGGGCTTGGCGCTGGGCCCCTCCCCTGGAAGCAGTGGCTGGCACTCGGAGGGCTGCTCTGAAGCGGTGGGTTGCTCTGAGGCAGAGATCTCGGCCAGGAGGGGAGTGGCATCCGCTGAGGGGCCCTGGCCCTCAGGAGGGGACGGAGGCTTGACTGCCTCCTCCAGGGAGTGGTCCTGCTTTTCTTGGGGCTGCAGTTCTTCCTTTTCTGGGCTTGGCTCTTCCTGGGCCCCCAGGGGAGCCCCTGGCTCACTCACCTCCTCTTTCTGGGGTTCCTTTTTCTCCCCCAATTCCCTCTGCTCTTCTGGACTCAGCTCTTCCTTGACTTCCTTCTTCTCCACCTCTAAGGGTTCCTCCCCTGCCTTCTCCACCTCTAAGGGTGCCCCCTCTGCCTTCTCCACCTCTAAGGGTGCCCCCTCTGCCTTCTCCACCTCTAAGGGTGCCCCCTCTGCCTCTAGGGATTCCTCCTCTGCCTTTTCTGCCTCTAAGGGTGCCCCCTCTGCCTTCTCCACCTCTAAGGGTGCCCCCTCTGCCTTCTCCACCTCTAAGGGTGCCCCCTCTGCCTTTTCCGCCTCTAAGGGTTCCTCCCCTGCCTCCTCTGCTTCTAACAGTTCCTCCCCTGCCTTTTTTGCCTCTAACGGTTCCTCACTTCCCATCCTCTCCGCCTCCAGCGGTTCGTCTGCTCCCTTCTCAGCCCCTGGCTGTCCCTCACCTCTCTTCTCTTCGTCCTCAGCTTCTTGCTTCTTGCTCCCTCGCTTTTCCTCACCATTTTCCCTTTCTGCCCTCAGTGACTCTGCACCCTCTCTTCTCTCTATGCCCAATGGTTCCTCCACTTTCTTCTCTGCCTCTGGCTTCTCACCTCCTCTCTCACCTCCCAGGAGCTCCTCAGCTCTCCTCTCTGGCTGGTCCTCACCTCCATTCTCCTGTGTCTTCACTGATGCCTCAACTCCTCCCGTCTCTGGCCCTGGCTGCTCCTCACCTCCCTGCGTCTCTACCCCAGGGGGCTCCTCAGCTCCACCCCTCTCTGTCCCCCACTTTTCCTCACCTCCTTTCCCCTCATATTCTTCTGCTCGCTTCCTCTCCGCCTCCCAGGTCTCCTCCCCTCCCGCAGCCTCGCCCCCCCTCACCACCGGCCCTGCCCCCTCCATCAGCAGCTCCTCCCACTCCTCACTAAGGGTCACCCTCTCCACCCAAATGAAAGACCCCTCCACCCCAGAGCCCCGCTGCCCGCTGCCCTCAGGGCTGCTCCCGTCCACACCTTCCCCTCCTCTGGACGACTCTCCCTGCAGCTGCTCCGGGAGCCTCGGTTGTGCCGCGTCCTCACCTCTGCCTCCCTCCCCGGGGCGCTCGGAGTCAGTGCCCCCCACCCCTTCCCAGACCACCTCCTCGACGTCCCTGTCTTCCTTCACCCAGGATGGGAGCTCCGGGCTGCCGGCCACCTGTCTGACCCCAATGGCCTCCAGCACCATCTCCTCCACCTTGGCCTCCAGCTCGGGGCCTGTGGGCCCCGGGGTACAGTCCTCCGAGGCCCTCAGCCCCTCCCACACCACCTTTACCACGCCCCCTCCTCTGGCCTCGCCCACGGCTTCCTCCTTCCTGGGCTCCGGAGCGGGAGGAGGGCTGGGCGCTGGGCAGGGTCCGTTGGCTTCGGAGGAGGCGCCCGGCACCCCTGGAGCCTCCCCTGAGGCTGGTAAACCCCCCACAGCCTCTTTCCTGGGCTCAGATGGGAACTCCTCCGGCGACATGCTTGCTGGCCCGGCTGGCAGCGACGCTCTCTTGTCTAGATCTGCCAGGTCTGCAAAGGAGAGGGGCCAAGGTGAGCAGGGACCCAGGTGTCCCCATCCTCACTCCCCTCCCCGTGAACCACCCAATCAGCGGGCAACCTGACCCTGGATACTCACCTGCAGCGTCACCCTCCACGAAGGGCTGTGAGAGAGGACGGGGACCCTGCAGGGAAGACACAGAGGAGGTCAGGTGCACTCTTGGCCCCACCCTTAATCTCCCTGCATGCCAAATACACACACACACACACACACACACACACACACCCGCCCCTGTCTAGCATCCTCTCTGGCTCCCCAGTACCTGGATCGTCACCACCTGCTTCAATGCCTCATGCACACTGGGACCTTAATATAAGTAGAGATCTACCACCCCAGATACTGGGGAGCGCTAGTGGCCTAGTGGCAAGGAGCTGCACTGCCAAACCAAAGGCACAAGGTTCAAATCCACCCATGGGAGAAAGATGGGCAGACTCCTCCCATGTGATTTATTGCTTCTAAAAACCCACTGGAGAGTCAGTTCTGACTCAAGAGTACACACAACCACCTCAAACACAGAAACAATAGAGCCTTAAGCCTTTTGCTCTTAAGTTTCCAGTGTATTGGGAGAAGGGGGTGATGGAGCAGAGTCAGGGAATAAGAGGGGCAATGGATGGGGAGCGCTGGTGGCCTAGTGGCAAGGAGCTGCAACTACAATCCCTCTTCCAGAGGCGCACGGTTCGAATCCACCAGATCCTCTGCCGGGGAAGGGCGGACAATCTCCTCCTGTACCAGTCAGATCTGATTTGACGGTACACTCACACAAAAATAATAAAAGTAAAAAAAAAAAAAAAAGAGGGGCAATGGAGAAGAAAGTATCCTGAGATGAGACTCTAGGAAGTGTGGGGGGGCACACCTCCTTTAAAAGACAGCAAGCTGCTCTGAGGAGGTAACTTAAAGAATAAGAGGAACCAAGCAGAAGGAACAGCAAGTGCAAAGTCCTGAGGCCAGAACGAGCCAGATAGGGTCAAAGAAAGGAGGGGCAAAGAGTCTAGAATGGAGAGAGGGAGAAAGAAGAAGATGAGCTTGGAGAAGGAAGTAGGGATGCTAGGCCATGCCCCACCACTCTCAGACCCTACCTAGATCCTTCCTTTCCAATCCCTGCGCCTTTCCACAGCCTCTGCTTCGAATGCCCTTATGTCTAACTCCTGCCTGGGTTAAGCTAGAGGTCACCATCTCCTCAAAGTTTTCCTTGAACCCCCAAACTCATGCAGGTGCATCCTCTCTGCTCCCGCATGCCCAGGGCTCCCCCATCACTGCACTCCTTAGGGAGATCCTGGAACTGGAAGGCATATCAGGAGCACACACTGCTACGAACACCTGGCTATATCCCAGGAAGTGGGCCCCTCCTGGCTGTCTTCCTAACTGGCACGGCTGCTGAGAAGGGGGCACTAGGGAGAGAGGTGCAGACTGTGGAAACCCCGCAACTGACCAGAAGCCACACTTCCAAGGCTGGTGACCGGAGAGCTCTCATCCATGTCCCCTGACTAGAGCTCTTGTTCCAGTCATATGTCCCCACAGGTTCTTCCTGGTTCTAAGTCATGAATTCACTCATTTTCCTCACAGGTCTTATAAACTCACTATTCTCGTTTAGGCTTGGACAAGTGAAGAGATCTGCCCAAGGTCATAAAGCAAAGAAGTAACAAGACAGAATCTAATCCAGATCTAGTGACAAGCTCTGCTTGGAGGGGCCCAGCTGACTACCCCTCCTCCCAAGCCCTCCCCTGGCCCCTCACCTGTCTGCGCCAGGTGGGCCTGCCCAAGGGCTTGTGCTGGGCACCTGTGGACGCACTTTGCAGCAGCTGCAGCTGGGATTGGAGTCTGGGGAAGAGATGGGGCTGCTGGGAGCCAGGCCCCCAGGCCCAATTTGCCACCTCCGCAGAGTGGACCCAGGGTCCTGGCAGAGCTGGGCGGGCAGGGCCAGCAGGCAAGGTCCCACTCACGTGAACAAGCTGTCCTCAAGGTTCCGGATGCGGACCTGGGCCTGTCCCTCGGGCGACTGGGAGTCCTGCGAAGCAGGGTCCTTGGGCCAGTCCGATCCCTCCGCTGCCCCATCCATCAGCCAGCGTTCCCGAAGAGACTTCCTCTGAGTGGACAGCAGGCCAAGACTGGACACCAGGACTACCCAATCCCACATGAGGATCCTCCCAGGGCTCGACAGCTCTGTTATCATCCCACAGCTCCACAGATGGGCTGCGTACCCCCATGGCCCCAGTCATCTACCCCCATGGGGACAGACACCCACTCACTGCAACCCATAGCCTTCACAGGCTAAAACACACCTGTGAGGCCAGGATAGACACCCATCACACCTATAGCCCTTCCAGACCAGAACAGGTACCCATCACATCTATAGCCCTCTAAGACTGGAAGACACCCCATCACCCCCACAGCCATCCTAGAATAGGACAGACACCCCATCACCCATAGCTTTCCTAGACAGGGACAGATACCCATCACCCCCACAGCCTTCCCACTCAGGACAGACACCTTATCACCCCCAGAGCCTTCCCACACAGGACAGACACCCCATCACCCCCACAGCCATCCTAGACTGGAATAGACACCCCATCACCCCCACAGCCATCTTAGACAGAGACAGACACCCCATCACCCCCAGAGCCTTCTCACACAGGGCAGACACCCAATCACCCCCATAGCCTTCCCACAGAGGGCAGACACCCCATCACCCCCACAGCCTTCCCACGCTGGGACAGACACCCCATCACCCCCACAGCCATCTTAGACTGGGACAGACTCCCCATCAGCCACACAGACATCGCAGACTGGGACAAACACCTCATCACCCCAAAACCATCCTAGACTGAGACATACACTCCATCACCCCCACAGCATCTCAGATTGGGATAGACACCTCATTACTCCTCTCAGCCCGCTCACTCTGAACAGACACCCTATCAGCCCACATGCCTCCTAATCTGGGCCAGGCTCCTAGTCACACCCCCCAATACATCCCGGAATCGGGAGGACCACTCGCATTGCCCCTACCCTCTTCCCAAAGCTGGAGCAAACGCCCTTCTCCAGCCCCCTCACCAGGCTAAGTCCTCAGAAGCTACAGCGAGTGTCCCCCAGGTCTGAGACTGAACGGAGGCTCCTTTCATCCCCTGTCCGATTCGCACAGACACCCCACTTCATCACAGGGCTGGGGAGGCGCCCCAACCTTGAGCCGCTCCACGCGGAGTTTCTCCTCCTCCAGCTCCAGGCGCGCCGCGCGGATCTCCTCCTGCAGCCGCCGCTTCTCCTGCGCACAGGGGACCGGGAGCTGCCGCCTCTCCCCCACGGGGCTCCCCGGGGACTCCCGAGCGGCGGGCCCCGCGGGGTGCACGTCGGGCGGGGGCGGGGAGGGGGCTGCGGCGCTGACTCAGCACTGTTGGGGGCGGGGCGGGGGCGGGGCCGGCCGCGCCCGGGATGCTGCGGAGGCCGCGCCCGCGCGAGCGCAGTGGGGGTCTGTGGTTGGGGGGCCTGGGAGTAGGGGAGTCAGAGACGCAGGGGTTGGAGATGTGGGGACACAGAGATGGGTTTAAGGGGGTAGAGAGGCAGAAGTGGGGTGCTGACAGAGGCTGTAGAGATGGAGGACCCCAGGGTTGGAGGTGCCGCGCTGGGGGTCCAGAAAGATGAAAGGTGTAGAGATGGGGGCTCTCAGAGAAATGGGGGTTAGTGACATGAGGGTCAGAAATGGGGTGCAGCCTTGAGGTTCAGGAATGGGGGGCCAGCGAGGGATGGGAGTAATGAAATGAGAGGTCAGAGATGGGGGCCCCTCAGAGAGAAGGGAGTTAGTGACACTAGGGGTCAGAAATGGGGTCCAGCCTTGGGATCCAGAGAGAAAGGGTTCAGAATGGGGGATCAGCGAAAGATGAGGGATAGTGAGATGAGGGATCAGAGATGGAGTGCAGTAGTCGAGACCCAGACGAATGGAGACCATTTAAATGGGGTGCAGGGATCCAGGTCTAGCTACAGAGTCAGAAATAGATTAATGAGATGGGGCCATTTGAAAGGGGAGTCTGAGGAATGGGGTGAGGAATGCATAAGATCAGATACAAGGGCTGAGATGGATGACAGTGAGAAAGGAGTCCAAAGATGGGGTGCAGAGTAGCAAAGTTTAAGAGATTGGGGTCTGATAAAGGAAAGATTGAAGAGATAGGGTTATTCAAGAGGCTGGGGTTCAGGAATGGAGGGTGCAGGTTCTGAGAGTCTGGGCTTTCTGTCCCTGACATTCTCAAAGAGGGGAGGTCAGGACAGGATAGGTTTGGGGGTGACCAGACAGTGGAACCAGGGTGCAGGGGTGCTGAAGGATTGGGGTGGGGTGCCTGGAAAGGCTCGGAGCAGTGTGCCTGGCTCCCGGGGAGAAGGAAGTGAGGAAGTGGGTGAAGAGAAGTTGGGGGTGTCCTGGGGTGTGTGCTTCACTTACTGCGATGACCTCTAGCCGCTGCCGGTAGAGGGAGCTCTCGGCCATGGGCCTGTGGGGAGAGGGTGAGGGCAGCTGAAGGGGTGGCCCCTCTAGTGCCTGCTGGCTTCAGTCACCAAAACACCTGAGTCACTTAGAAACCAACTAAATCCAGGTCCTTCGCCTCTGTTTCCTCTCTGCACCTGGGACAGCAGGGCATTAGGCAAAGGTTCTATGAGGTGGAGGCCAGCAGAGAGCATTGAAGGCTGAATCAAAGCCCTTCTAGTCCTAATATCACCTACAGAGCCTCACTGGGCCCCATCTATAAAACGGGTCACAATAACTTGACTTTCACCCTTGGAGGCAAAAACTCAGGACACAGTACGACCAAAACTAGCAGCACGGTTTGCTACTGATTTTAATAGTGCACATTATTAATAAAGTTTAGTATTCTGGTTACCATTCCCAGCCCAACACTAATAAGCTGTATTTCTCTTGCCATCTCTACACCCTCTCTGGTCCTTGCCTCCCACTCAGGACCCCTAAGTGTCAGGAGATGAGGAAATCTAGAGAGAGAAATGTCCATCCTGCCATGGACACATGTCATTGCCATAGTAACTCCTCCATTTGCCAGTCCTCCTTCCTGGGAGCAAAGGTCATTGGGTCACATTGCTGCAGCCTGGACTCTGAGCCGGAAGAAAGAGAGGACCTGCTGTTTAAGGTTTAACCTGAAAACCCTCTTTCATTGTCCCTTCTTGCAACACACCCTTCTTGGCTGCAGATCACTTAGGGTCGTTGTCACATCCACCTCATCATCACAATTTCTGAACACCCACTATGGACAGTCTGATAGATACTATATCTAAAAAGAGGGGATGTGGGTCTGCCCAGCTTGGACACAGAGCAAGTGCTCAAACCCCCTGCCATGGAGTCAGGTCCAAATCAAAGCAAACTGCTCAAGGCTGTTTGTCGTTGTTATTGTTGTTGTTGTGTACCAGCGAGTTGGTACTGGCCCATAGCAGACCCTCAGAGACAATCACACAGGAGGAAATTGTCCATCTTTCTCCTGAAGAGCAGTGGGTGGATTTGAACCACAAATCTTTGGGATTGCAGCGCAGTTTCTTACCCCTGGGCCACTATAAATGGAAGCTATAAATCTTTACTGTCTCATCTTTTCCTTAACGAGTTAGCTGCTCAGTGCCCACTACACCACCAGAACTCTTTTAGCAAGCCGTCAAGCACTTGCGAATTTGGACACTAGCCCTGTTGGCCCCACCGGTCAAACTCCAGCCGAGGTCACCAGGTCTTCTCCAGCCGCACCGGGAAGGCATGCATAGCGAGCAACTATTTAAACCAATCATATTGCTGTTAGTGTGTTCCAACTCCTCGGGAGCCTATGAGCAAAACAGTCCCATGGGGATTCCAAGGCTGTAATCCTCACAGAAGCTGACTAACACTGCATTCTCCTTGGAGTGGCTGGTCTAGTGAGTTTGAACTGCAGTCTCTCCGTTAGCAGCCAAGCTCTTTAACCACCATGCCACCAGGACTCCTCCAGCACTTACATAGCCCTTCCTATATATAGACTGTTCCACGTTCCAGAAGACACTTCCTCCATCTCCCGCGGCCACCTTTGTCTCCTCACCCTGCCCTGACCATGATCTCCCATAGCCGGCTGGCTGCTGAGTTAATATTCCAGCCAAGAATAAAATTAGCCACCTCTTAGTGGAAGGATACCACGTGCCACACAAATACTGCTGTAAATAACCGCTTTGTGTAGAGTAACCCCTTTCATCCTCCCAGCAATCCCAGGAGGCATGCAGCATTACTGCTCCCATTTTACAGATGGGGACACTGAGGCTCTGAGAAGTGACGAATAGAATTGACCCAGCCCAGTGGGTCAAGACAAGAACACAAAGCTCTCGGAGCCAAATCGCTAGAATAGGGTGAAGCTCTAAGAACCCCCTCATCTTGCCTGAGAGGCTGACAGTTCTAGCTCAAGTTTTATTTGCCATGTATCCCAAAACAAGCCCAGATCGCCCGACCCCTGTTTATAAGTTTACTTGTGGGGGAGAGTTGAAGGCCCCCTCCTTCTCCATCCTACCCCCAAGATGTAATCTCACTGCCTCTTCCTTGCTGGGGGGGATCGGATTCCCATTGCTAAGCAACCAGGTTTGTAGCTGATGAATAATGCAATGGGGGACCCACAAGGGTGAGAACCCGAATTGGGGTGCCTGGGATGAGCCCCTTTCCCAGAACGCTTCACAACCCTCTGGAACCCCTGCACGCTCTCGCTTTAAAATTCCGCAGGCACGAAATCCTGAATCCACCTGTCCAGTCTGTTTGAGGCTGCTCTCATATCTAACCTGACAAGAGCAGGGTCCGTGGCCTGCTGCCACGGGGAAGACCTGGTCGCCGCTCTGTCACGCAGGTCATCATTTCAGTTTTGTCATTATCTTTCACAGTTTATTACAGGCTCTTGAACCTCCCCTCCCACCCCGGGCCCTGGATAGGGTCATTCTTAGAGACAGAGAGTGGGACTGGGGACCCTGGCTGGTCCCCTCGGCCATAGTCCCAGCCCAAGGCTAGACTTCGAGCCTGCAGCCTGTCAGTGAAAAATACCCAGAAAGGAAGGGTGCAGAGGAAAAGGGTCAACACCTCTCACTGCCTCACTGGAGCACTCGGGGGGACATGGAAGAGCCCCCTTGGTTGGCTCCTTTACATTCCCAGGTCCCTCGCGAGAGGACGGCTACACCTTTTGGTCCAAGAGCAAAGCCAGTGACCCCCCGCCCCGGCCCAGTGCCCTTCCAGGCCCTGTCCACCACCAACCACCCCCAACCCTGGCCACTTACGTGGGTGTGGCCGAAGACCACACTTGGCTCTGTAAGGCCATCTCGGCCCAAAGCCCACTGCACTGTCTCCGAGTTCAGGACCCACCACCCGCTTGCCTGAAGGTGCCCTGAAGGCTGTGTGACTTGGCAGGCAGGGAGGGGGGCTGTGGGGAGGGAGGCAGGCGGTACCGGGAGAGCTGGTCCAGCTGGTTTGGGCCTGGAGGGAGGCGGGAGCAGCGGGCAAGGGGGGCTGGGGGCTGGCGGGCACTTCTGGGGAGGTACTATCAGCTGTCCTGATCAATTATTTACCAGCCACTGGCCTCCTTGCCGCTCTCGGCTGCCTCTCTGCAAACACCGTCTCACACGCGTGGCCAGGCATGCTGGCGGGGTGCAGGGAGGGGTGGACACTGACCTTCCAGAGGACTGACCCTCCACCTGGCACCTCATATGTCTGTAGTCCAACTGTCCCCCCACCGGGCACGCTTGTGTGCACATTTGCACAGAACACGGGGTGGACCCACTTCTACACCAAAGACCCAGGCTCCAGGGTGGGGAGGGGAAGGGCTGCTCAGCTGGAGGACCCTGGAGACTGTGGACTGGCCCTCAGGAGACCCAGGAGGGCTTGACTCTGTAAAACCGTGCACAGCTTGGTTCGTGTTGCTAGACTTGGCATTCCCTCTTGTGAAATAGGTGAATTAGACCAAGTGATCTGCAGGACTCTTGAGATGCATCCCTTGAGAGGCAGAGAGGGGTGTAGGGTAGTGAGGGTGAGAAAGGTCCAGACAACCCAAATCCCAAGTGTCACTAACTGTCATCATATTCTTAAAGGAACAGTACACCCTCCTCCACTGACTCTCTCGGTCCCTTTCTGTGCCCCCCACCTCCCCTTACAGGACCCTCACCCTCTCACTCCAAAGACATCATCACCCTAGCTGTAACCCTGCCCATGGGACTAAGCTGACAAGCCAACCTAAATCCTATACCTCCTTCTTCTAGATCCTTCTCTGGTACTTGGAAACCCAGAACTTCCTGACCAAGTGGTTCTGAGCTCACTAAGGATGTCCATAGTGCCCTGTCCCCTGGTCCTCCAGAGAGAAGACCACAGGACATGTCCTACCTCCTCTGACCAGAAAGGTAGCCAAGGGGTGTGTATGTGTGTGTGTGTGTGTGTGTGTGTGTGTGTGTGTGTGTGTGTGTGTGTGTGTGTGTGTGTGTGTGTGTGTGTGTGTGTGTGTGTGTGTGTAAGAGCTGTGATACACAGGCTGGGGTGTCCCCAGGTGTCTGAGCAAGGGCCCTCACTTTGTAAGACAGAGTAAAGGGGGCTAACAGTCAAGGGGGTGGACAGAGGGGGCTGGGTCTTCCCCTGCCTCACAGTTGAGTCTGTAATTTCCCAGAATCAGAACTCTCTGCTGTCAAGACAGAACCCACTCACAGCTGACCCTCCATCGGGTCCCTGAGGCGGGAAACCTCACAGGAGATTGCCCAGCTTTCTCTCAGAGTCGTTGGTGGATTCAAACTGCTGGAGAAATGTGGCCTTTGCTTTAGCAAGGAGGCTCCCTACACACAAGGCCGCCAGGGCGCCAGACTGCACCTCCTGGGACTCCAGAAATGTTTGAAACTGAGCCTGGCCCTCTAAGCCATTCTCAAGGGGGGCTGTGTGTGTATATTTACATATACACACACACACATATATATATGTTTGAGTATATATATGTATGTGTGTGTGTGTATATACATACACACAGTGTGTGTGTCATTCTTTTTTTTTTGGTGAGAAAAATTTATATTTAAAATTAGTCAGCTGAACTCAGTTTAGATGATCCCAATTTTGTTGGCAACATCCAAAGCATCGTAGTCAGGAGCAAGTTGAACACAGGCCTTCTTCTCTCCATCAGGTCTAATCAAAGTGTTGACCTTGGCCACATCAATGTCACAGAGCTTCTTTACAGCTTGTTTGATTTGGTGCTTGTTGGCCTTGACATCCACAATGAACACAAGTGTGTTGTGATCTTCTATCTTCCTCATGACTGACTCAGTGGTCAGGGGAAATTTGATGATGGCATAGTGGTCAAGCTTGTTTCTCCTGGGGACGCTCTTCCGGGGGTATTTGGGCTGCCTTCAGAGTCTCAGCATCTTAGGCCGCCGGAAGGTGGGTGATGTGCGGATCTTCTTGTGTGTGTGTGTGTGGCTGTGGATGCCCTTCAGGACGCCTTCTTGGCCTTTAATGCCTTTGCTTTGGCT